GGTAGGCAGAGTTGCAGGATTACACCCCTAGTTGTTGACTTCGGCTTCCTTACGGAAGTCCAGCTAGCACTGTATCCTCTAAGAGCAAAACATACGTTTGCCAACACCCAATTTGGTCACTTACCCATCAAATTGTTGTGTTCCGGGATCCTCTCATCCTGCAGCATTGCCCTCAGCACAAACTGCAGCTAAAAGAGCGCTGTCTCAAAGGAGACTACTCAGTGAATTGGCTTAGTTGTAACTGTATTGGACTTGTATCTTAATGTTGACTCATGTTATGACTGTGTGAGACAGCAGCTTTCCAAGCATAACATCTGTATGTACAGTGTAGACAGAAGAACAACCTCCTAATGCTTTTTTAATAATTATTACTATTCTAAGTGTACTGAGTTTTTATTTTGTGGTTCTCTGCCCTACGTGTGCCAGGTTGTGTGGCTTTATTGACGACAACTGTCATGTGCTTTATTGGCTGATATTGTTTGTTCTCACTGAAAAAAAAAAATGACCAGCTGTTCACACCTGTTTAAAAAAAAAAAGTGTGGGGAAGCAGCTTCTCAGAAGCACTAAGTGATAATGTGGTCTTCTGTGCTAACGTTTACACTAGAGGTGTGCGCTGGTGGTTTTTTGAGGCACTCAAGTAGATCAGCATCTTGAACCCTGGAGGAGGAATCAGCTCCCTCTCTCCACTTTCTTCCATCTTCAGACTGTGCTCATGGACTGTCGCCCACTCGCCACAAAGTCTTGCTTTTATCCTCCTCATGCAAACTCTTGTAATTGTAGCCAAGCTACTGAGGAGGAACTGCATATAGCATGTGCCATGTTTGTTGAAAATACTTTTTTCCCCCGCATGTACAAAGAAAAACTAGTATATAATGTAGGAGAATATTTATGTTTAGGTATTAATCATTACTGTACAAAATCCTTACCTTTAAATGTTCAAAAATATACAAATGCCATAAACTCCTAGTTCACACAGTTGAAAAAGGGGGAGGAGTTGTCCTTTCTTTTTAAAAGAACTTAACCTAAAAATATCTGAACCCCCTCCCAACCATCCTTTGCAGGTAACTGCACTGAGAAGCTCTTTGGTGGGGGGGTGGGATTTGATTTTCCTTTGAATTTGTTGACGTTGCAAAGCAGTTCTGTGCTTCGCAGAGAAGTTTTGTTTCTATGAGACCATGGTGAAAGCTAGAATTTAAAACTAAATGTGAATCACATTATAGAGTCATAGCTACTTGGGGGGGGTTGGGGGTGGGTGGGAGGGAAGGGTCAACTGACACAGTATTTTAAAGATGTTTTTCTGTTGCCTTTTTTATTTTTAAGTGACCTCCTATATATATGAATAGATAGAATGTTTTATGAGTATAAAACCAAGTTTTAACTTGCTTCCTGACATGAAGATTTACTCTACTAACAACTCATGTGCAACTGGTACTCTTGACCTCATTCCAATGGTTTAAAAAACCCACCCACACAACCCATTGCGCTGCAGCTCTTAGGTTTGACCTGGCCTCATACTGGTGCTGGGTCCCTTGATTTCCTCTACCTTGGGAACTGATATTTAAAACCACTGCTCAAATAAGTGTCTCTTCCTCAACCTTTCTCTCATCTCTCTCTTTCCCTCCCCTGCAAGCTTTTCTGGATGTTTGATTTCATTCTTTCCCATTAGAAGTGGCTGATTTTGTGTCATTGCTTCCTATATTTACATGTATCATGGTTTTTCAGTGGGGTTTTTTTGGTGGTGGTGGTGGTTGTTTTTTGTTTCTATTTTGTTTTGAGGTTTTTTTGCTATTTTGAACCATGTGGCTTTCAAAGCAGTTACTGGGCTAACGTTTAAAGGAAGATATTGGGAGAATTAGTTTCAGACCTGGACGTCAGTTTACATACCCAACCATTCTTGTCTCACAAGGTCAAACCAAATGACCACAAAACATCATTGGAAAGAGCGGAAAAAAAAAAAAAATCTGACTGCAGAATTCTAGGAGTTTGGCCAGTGGTCACTGTGATCTTAAGAATCTCTTTGCATTTGTCAAAGAGGATACATGCAGCATCTCTCCTGCTGGGCGTTGCTTGGGAATGGCATGGTGAGACCCTATCTCCCTGCTGAGCACTTCTCTGCTCCCATGGGCACATGAGTCCTTGGAGCTCTGTCCAGTCTGTATCTAGTCCTCCTTTTCCTCTGCCATTGCTATACTTGTATTGCCAGGAAACCTCATTTCATTTAGGCTTGTTATGCTTTGTCAGGTGAGTACTACACTATATAATGTGTTTGTTTCTCTGCGTTCTCTGGGGGTGCCTTGAACACAAAAGCTCATTGCAAGCTGATTCTGGAACAAAAAGGTAGTGAAAAAATAAATTTAAAAAAGAAAAAAAAAAGAGCTAAAACAAAACAGAAAACAAGCAAAACAAAAGCAAAAACGTTGGCTGTATTATCAGGAGATCCCAGTATTTATATCACTGACTTCCTAACGTGATGACTCAGGCGTCAAGAGTTTGATGCTGCAGTATAAAACTATTATTTTATATATTGTACAAGTAATTTATTAAATGTCTTTCTAAGGGTATATGCTGCTTTTAAGATGCACTATATTTTTGGATCTAATCCCTGTATTATTTTTTTTCCCAAGGAAGTAAAATGTGCTGCAAAAGCAAGCCACAGTGATTAGTATGCTAACTGCTACTTCTCTAAAAAGCAGAGTGGGAACAAGATATGTAACTTTGCTAAATGGATTAACTCCTGCCAGAGACATGATTAATGCTGATACTGTGGTTGTTAATCTGGAGTGTGACACTTCATCATGTCTCTATCCTAAAGAGTGCTTAAATAGAAGTTAAAATGCCTAGATATATAGTTAATTTTTTTTAATATGTGACTTCATGATTGCCTAGTAAATAAAACAGATCTGCATGCTGGAATCACTATAATCCTATAATAGAATGAAAACTGATCCACTAGGAGAAAGCATGGTGAAGCATTACAATTCCAGAATCAACACCACATCCTCATCTGTGTCTTGTAATCCACTGCTGTGGTGGTGAAGAGAGAGCAAGGGGTGTGTTTGCAGAATAGGAGACCCATAGTGAATTTTGCAGTGAGACAAAGTGGGTATTTGCCAGGTTCCACAGGCTCACATTTTGCTCCACTGGACATCCTGTACCATTGCAACAAGGAGTGCTGCTTTCACCTTTTTTTCTCCTGATCTGAGATGCTTTTGAAGGTGCCTCTGGGTGAATGTTGTAGCCCATGGCTACAGCATTTTAAAAGTCTCTATTTTAGGGCTGCCTTGAGAAGTTTTAGCTCAGTATGAGCAGCGGGTTTGCATAAGGAGGGGATCTGCTAAGTATGGAGCAGTTTTATTTTTATGAGAAGTGAGGTGAAATTCAAACTATTAACATAAAGAATTTCTGCTCTCTTTCCTGTTAAAAATTTTCTCAACACATTTTGACTTCATTTCAGTTTTGTCTCTGCCAACACAGTCCAAGTTAATTTTGATTCCATATATAAAATACATGTATGTATGTATGCATACGTACATCTATAATTCTAATCAGATTGTATGTTTGTGTATTTTCCTGTTTATGATACATATATGTATATTTATAATACTCCCTGGAGTATTTTATGACTCAGGCATCAGGTCTGATGCTGTAGAATACAATATATGTGTATATGCATATGTTCAAATACTGTGTGTATATTTAAAAGATCTATTGTTGGTGGTCTGTAGAATAATTATTCCCTTTACTCTCAAAATTTTAATGGCATTACTTGCAAAGATTAAGTGTACAGTATTTTCCTACACTCCACCAAGATAGGTATTATTTATATTGAAGTCAATTATTGATGAGCATTTTAAGGTAGTACATGAATAATATTGCCATTTTTGCAAACAAAATAACTTTTTGGCAGGAAGGAATGCTAAAAATATCTTTTTATAAGCTTATTACCCCAACCAAACGACTGCTAAAAAGCCAGTTAGATGACTCCTGTTCTTGTGCAAACTTAAGTGACTGTGGGCAGAGCCCTCGCCATAAGTGAAAGGCACTATGTGGTTCATGCAGTGCCACTGTTGTCCCTTTTGGCTAATTAAGGGCATGCAGAAAGAAACTAACATCCCAAAATAGAAATGGGAACTGGCAGTGTTTGATTTCATTGATTGCTTAGAAGCAGAGATGGTCCCAGGCTACGAACCCAAACGACCCCCCTTGCTTTGGAGGGAGCCAGGCAGGGGCTGCAGTGGACAGTGGGCTCATCCCTGCAGCCAGAGGAGCCCGTGCTCTGGGATGTGGGCACAGGAGGGAGCAGCTGCCCTGTGCTGGGGGCTGTGGCTGGCACCCCCTGCCCAGGCAGGGGTACCCTGCAGCTGGGATGTACCCGAGGGAAACGCGCATGGTTGCAGTCCTGTTCTCACTGCTGCATTGGCTCTGCCTGAAGCTCTCTGGATCCCTCAGACCAGCAGGAATGATACTAAACACTTTGGTGATATTCGATGTGTGGTTGTTTACTCAAAGTTGCAAGCATCACCTTTGATTTCAAGGGTGGGGATGCCCTAAGAGTTTGTTCCAGAACCAGTTGGTTACAAGTGCACCTCTTATATATGCCTTACAAACTTCAGAGGCCATATTCAAAACAGGGTTTTATCAGTGTATGCAAGGGGGTGCAACCCCTCTTCTCTTCCTCCCCAGGTCAAACAGTATGGACAGTTTTCACACATATCTACCTGTATAACCCTCTGTACCTCTCATAACTGGTCAATGACTGTAACAGGTTACATCAGGTGTTTTTTCTACATACTTTTTACACAAATTCTATGCGATTAATGTAACTTAATTCAATGCATCATTTTATTGTACTAGTTCTTAAGCTTGTCTTTATTTTTTTTTCTAGGTGACTGTGGTTTCTTGTGATTTTTATTGTATAAATAAATGAGGTGGCTGTTGATGCTTACTCTCTGTTACTAAGAATTTTTACCTTTTTGGAAGAAAGCATTGCTATGAACTAATGAATTTAAAATGTCATTTACTCATTGTAAATACAGTATTGTGCAAAAAAACAAAAATGAAAAAAAACCACCCAACCCTTTTCATTCATTTGAATTGCTAGTGTTAACTGAATTTTGTCTAGACACCATTTCTGTTGATGAAATAAAGACATATCATTATGTATTGTAAATCGTCTCATCATGACTCTGAAATCAATGTTGCAGGGCTCGGTTAGTGCACGGGTTGTGGGTGAGATGCAGGAGGTTGGGTTGGAAGCAGTTGGAGATTCACTGCCAGGTGAATCTCTGAACAGATGAAGAGACTTCTACTCACGTGGTCCCACTGCTAATTCACCAGCAGTCTTTGATCCAGGGATCCAGTTACCTTTGATCTGCAGGAACAGCCCAGAGTGTTCTGCTGCAAACATAAGTTTTTTTGGAAGATCAAATAAGCTGTATCTATACTTGTTCCCCTCGTGCATGACTTAAGGCAATTCTGCTCAGTCTTTGTTTTGGTCTTGTAAAGCATCAGTGTACTTGTTGGAAGGCAGGGGAAGAGGCTGAGGTTTGTTCCCCCTTTAAGGAAAACCTGAGTGAAACTGAGAAGTTTGTGTAGAAACAAAACATAGCTAAAAAATCTCTGTAGTATTCCTTCCTGAAAGAGGAAACTTGTGCCATGGACCATTAGCAGGAAAGCAAGAAAAGAACAGAGAAATTACAACAGCTTTAGATGCTATTTACCACAAGCAGGACATGGGGTCCAGCAGGGAGGTGTTTGTGCTGTGGGAGTCCCACATCAACCACCTCTCTCCTTGTGTCGGATGCAAGCTGGGAGCCTGCTCAGCAACTTGGCAGGAGGAGACACCGGGAGGGGGGAATAGCATGACCAATTGAATTGTCCTGCCCTGTCCCACACACTTGCTGGGATGACGCTCTGTGGCATGGGGAGGAGGTCAGGCTGCTAGAGGGGGGGGCCCAGGCTTTTTCATCACCAGACAGAAGACCATCAATCATGTTCCCTTGGCCACCAACCTTAGTGTCTTCCTGTTGAGCATGTATGAAGGCTTCTCACCCCATCAAAGCTGTCAGAAGATGTGTCCACCATGTCTATGCAGCCTGGCAGTAGGCAGAGTACATTAGCACAGATGTTTCTCCATCCCTCAGTTGTTGCTGGCGTTTAATGGCCACCATTTCAAGTTTTTTGTTTGGTTTTTTTTGTTTTGTTTTGGTTTGGTTTTTTTTGTTTTGGTTTGTTTGGGTTTTTTTGCCTTAAAATACTGAATAAATGCACAGGCAAATTGACAATGAGTTTCTAGTGAGGCAGAATATTAATGTAAACCATGTGCTCTTGAAAAAAAACCAAAACACTACAATATTTATGTTTGAGTTATTTTCCTGCAGTCCTGCTTTCTGCTAGCCTTGCCTTAGAGTTGTCAAGTCATGGAGGATTTTTATGCGTAGGGAAAGCTGCATAGCAAACAAACTTGTTCCGAGCATCATTCCCTAATGAGATGATAACAAATGTGAACTTTGATAAGCTTGACAAATGAAAGCAGCTCTAAGTATGGGGGGATAGAAACAGGATCAGGGACAGTCAGAAGAAGGTGTTTATTTTCCAGGTACACCAGTGTAAGAGCTGCTTTCTTGGGCTGCTTCCTTGGGCTGCATACAACCCAGAAAGCCAACCCTCTGAGCTAGGCTCTACTAGCAAAATGAAATGAGCTCTTTTTGTCTTTGCTGGTCTTTTGGTTCCTCAGTATGAATTAATGAGACTGTGAAGCAAATAAGATTTTTGCAACCACAATGTGATCTTCTCAAATAGCAAACTGGAAAGTATAGATGTTTTGCACTTAAAGTAAATTGTCTGATATCACTTAGCTTCAATTTTGAATCCAAAAGCATTAGCTATGAGGAGGCTACATTAGCATGGAAGGGCTCTATCAGAGTTTGAGGATTGCATTAGCACAGGCAGAAAAGCCGCAGATATTCTTCAGCTGTTTTTTTCTCTCTTTAATTTTCTGTCCCTTCAGATTCCATGAGTGTTTCCTCTGTCTTTTTATTCATCAGCTGCTGAAGTCTAGAGAGATAGAGGCCACGTAGCCTTCCAGGTTACTTTCAAATCAAACTATTCTTTTCTTGTCAGTGCCTTGGGTCTTAAGCTACCTTGAAGTTCTGCGGATCAGGCTGGTTTCTGATATGAACACACCACTAGCATGCACAACAAGTTGTACATCCCAAAATGCTCCCCAAAGACACAAGGCTGTTTCTGCAGTGGTAGCACACACTAACAAGATCCAGCTCAGTCTACATTAGAGAAATCTTGAGTTGTGGAGCAGGCTACCCAGTAACACCAGCAGTCAGAGTACAGCACAGCTGGGATTGGCATGAAATGGAGGAATAAAGTGTTTGCTTTTTTAAACTGTATTATCAATTTAGCATTATAGCAGTGGGAGAGGGGAACATAATGACAGAAAATCTTCTTCTCATCTCTCTCTGCAGAAGGCAGTTTGTTCTCAGTCCCTTAGTTTATTTCTTCTCCTTAGAATTTCCTACTTTTTCATGATGGATGACAGTTCTAGGAGCATACTCTGAAAGATAACAATAGAAAGAAAGCACAAAACTGAATTGGCTTAAAGGAGAAAAAGAAATGTTATCATAGTAATTAACCCCAGCACATAAGGGAGTCTGGTGTTTAGCTGACAGCACACTTACCTTGCAGGGCTTTGTTCAGTGCTAATGGGGGTGTGGGAAGAGAGGAAACACCTTGATTTTAAACCAAAATAAATACACTAATGCATTGGTGTAACCAACAGGTTGGGGGAGGTGATTCTCCCTCTCTACTTGTCTCCTTGAGGCCTCACCTGGAGTGTTGCATCCAGCTCTGGGACCCCAATATAAGAATGTCATGGACCTGCTGGAGCAAGTCCAGAGGAAGGCCATGAGGATGGTCAGAGGGGCTGGGACACCTGTCCTGTGAAGACAGGCTGAGTTAGGGTTGTTCAGCCTGCAGAAGAGAAGGCTTCAGGGAGACCTTATAGCATCTTCCACTACCTAAAGAGGGCTTACAGCAAAGCTGTAGAGGGACTGTTAGCAAGGGCATGTGATAGGACAAAGGGTAATGGCTTTAAACTGAAAGTGAGTAGGTTTAGATTGGGTATTAGGAAGAAATTCTTTACTGTGAGGGTGAGGAGGCACTGGAAAAGGTTGTCCTGAGCTGCTGTGGATGCGCCATCCTTGCAAGTGTTCAAGGCCAGGTTGGATGTGGCTTTGAGCAATGTGGTTTAGTGGAATGTGTCCCAGCCCATGGGTGGGGGGGTTGGAACTAGATGATCTTTAAGGCCCTTTTAAACCCAAACCGCTCTGATTCTATAATTCTGTGATTTAGTAATTTGTTTGAAATCAGTGAACACACCCTAGTAGCTCTTCCTAGTGAGGGGGTTTGTATATTTTTGAATTCTTTAAAACCTTACATAGATGGACTCAATAAAACAAATTCCCCTTTCTAAAATCCAGCTTACTTTTTTGTTGCTGCACAGATCATCAGAGGGGTTAATTAGTGTTCAACTGCTGCTGACACCCAAAGTTTATCTGTGTTTGTGCAAGTGGTGAACAGTTATCTTTGGGTGGCCAAGTGGCTTTTGCAGGATAATTGGTACACTTGCTGTCATCACAAGTTTCTTCTGAGTCCTCCAGGGCAGAATAAAATACAAGTACTGTGGGATTTTTTTTTTTTTTAAGAGGAGTTTACATTGAAAAACTGCACAAAACCAGGAGTAGTTACCAGCAGGTGTAAATGTGAATACCTTTAAAGATTCTCAAAAAGCCTAGAGGAACACAGGGTTTTGCCAGTCCCTTACCCCACCTGGAGATTTTCCTGGTGGAGCTCGGCTGTATAAATAACTCCTCCATGGTTATCAGGTTTGTTATTTCAATGTGCATTCACTCTTATCAAGCTGTTGCAGCCCCAGAAGCAAGAGCAGGTAAGAAGATAGTTAAGTGAGTCGGTATTTATTCCTTACACGTTATTGAAAGGTTGAGTAAACATGCCCTGTTCTGAAGAAGATGGCAAGCACTCATGCTGAACAGCAGCTTTCTCTTCCCTATCCTGCTCACTACGGAGTGTTTTCCCAGTGAGTAAGAGGCTCAAAGCTGAATGAACAATTGAGAAGCAGGAAAAAATAGAACAGCATGGAGGAATAAAAGAGCAATGAGGGAAACCAAACCTAGTGAATTGTAAAATTTTCACAACTTTGACAGAACTAGGGTTTCAGCCCCAGAGACTTTCTTTTCTGCAAAACAATAAAATCAGCAGCCCTATCTCAGACTAATTCTGCAATCTGAGAGTATCAGTGTCACCATCTGCTTCACTGTCAATTTTATTCCCTTCATTAACCATAAGAAGGGAGTCTTGCTTTTAAAGATACACTTGTTACTTTGTAGCCAAAAATACAGACTTATTAAAATGACACTGTGAAAACACGGGACATCCTGGAGGAGAGGATGGGGAAGACACAGCACTTCTTGAAAAACAAAAGTCTAGATTGCCTAAAATGCCTAAGATTTCATTATTAAAGTCTTGCTCTAGTAATTTTGGTTGCTAAGGTCATTATACGTCTTCTAATGATTTCCAGTTTTGGTTTTTGATTTAGGAACTTATCATGACTTTATGAAGAAACACAAACATCAGATAACGTCAAGCTCCCCATCTTTTTGGAATATCCTTGAGTACTCTAGAAAGAGCACGAGCACAGTAGTTCTCTTAATACGGGTTTAGGCATGGGTTGCAAATATAATTAGTTCCAAGTCATATGAAAGTTGGTGCTTTTGTGAAGAGAGTAGCCAATCTAGTGTAAATACTCCCAATCCCAATTAACCAAATTAAAACTCCTAGGTTTTAGAGCACACCTTAGAATTCTTTAGAGAACTATCATACAGGTAAAGACAAAAAAGAACTGATGCTGGACATCCTCTCAAGTAGTATGGAACTGGAATCCTCTGCTTTAGAAAGGCAGGAAACACAACTAGCAAAGACTTCAAATGCAGCTAGCAATGAAATACCAGACAGCCTCCAGCTTTTGTAGAAATGATTGCAATTCAGCTATTAAACTGGGAAGACATTGTGACACTCTGAAGATGGAAAGTCAGGCTATGGTCATCTCAGCTGAGCTTTCTGATCATTCTGCAATCATTCTCTGGTTTGCAGAAAACGGGTAAGGAGGAAGATACTTGATTCTGGCGAATGGCTCCTTTAGAATTAAAGCTGCTGTCTTCTCTAATTGTTCATTTGGAGTGCTCAGATCTGTCATTTATGCCCCCAGAGATAGTATGAGAGTTATTCAATGGTCCTAATGGCTTGACACAGTCTTGCATGTGGCTGCTGGGAGACAATACCCCTCATTGCAATGCTCCAAGAGCCAGGTGCCTGTTCTGGGCTGTAATTCCTGGCCCTGCCTATTTTCACGAGAGCACAAGTTGTATCTATATTTGTTATAAACTGATCTTTGACTCCATCAGTCTATTAATCTTATCAGGCTTAAGCATGTATTATCCACCTGTCAAGACCCTGACTGGTGCAAATGATGAGATCTTTTTCTCATAATACAATTCATGTGCAGAGTCCTATGGACAGCAGCATAATTCCTACATGCCTTTTGTGGATCCACCTCCTGGCTGTCAGCTATGATTATGGATATGCTAAATTCAGTGAAGCTTTTTTCACTTTTTTTTTTAAAAACTGCCATTTAAGGTCTGCTTCACCTAATGGAGTCTGGCAGCCTGGGACCATGCAGAAGATGCCCTTTTGCTCCATTGCTGTATCTCCCCTTAAATAAAAGTTAAAATGTGGTGAGAGTTGCAAACCTTAGGGCAGAACTATGTGTGTACCCACAATATCTCTTAGAAGATAAAATACTGTTTATTCTCTAAGATGCATCCTCTAAGTGAGCCTTGGAAATTATTAGTTTGGAGACAGTTATCCGTGAATAAATTGTTTTCTGTCACTTCAAAGCATGCTGACTGCGATCCTCAGGACCAAGGTTTTGGAGTCTTGCAGATAGTCTGACTTCATCTGTACGTAGTTGCTAGATTTCCCTGTCAGTGCAGAGTTTTGTAACATTATTGAGATTAGCTCATTCATATAGTCAGCAATACTCTTGTCATTTTATTTAGGTGGAACGAAATCAGTTGGAAATAACCCTCATGTCATGCATTTATTCTTCCACCTTTGCTTTGCTGTGTGCTTGAAGGTCCAGTTTTGGTTGTCTGCCTTCAGAATCTAATAAACCTAAAGCTTAACCAGCAGTGGCTCAAAAAAAGTTTTTTGCTTTCCTCAATGAATCTTTAGTCAAATAAGTTTTTTAGGTTTTCTGTCTCTCTCACTTCAGCTTCCTGGTCTGAATAGTTATTAACTTTGGATAATACCACATGAAAGAAATGGAACAGAACATAAAGAGTGAGTGGTTTGGGTGTAAAACTAAACAGTTTCACAAAATGTAAATATTTTGCCAGGGGTTTATGCTGCAGTTGGATGTGAAATTACAAAATGGCTCTTCATCTCCACCAATTTCAGGTAAGGAAGTTTTAAATAGCCTTTTAGTTTGTGGCTTAACATGGTTGGTCTGTATAAATCCTACCAATGGGAAGGGCATTTCTTCTTTTTTAGATCTAGAGCTGGTGTGGTTTGAACTGAAGTCTGGAAAAGTTGAGGAATCCTGATAGCAAAACATGCATTTTATAATCAGTATCCTACTGTACTGTTTCATTGGGGTTTCATTCTCTCCTAAGGGTCCAAAATAACCTTTCCTCCAAAGAGGAAGGCCTAAGACAAACTTCTTGTTCTCTTTGAGAGATGCAGTTTTGTACTTATGAAATAAAATACTGTTATATGACCCAGCCTAGTACTATCCAACACCTGGTCTTCATAGTTTGATCCACTACATCTATTGGGTCCAATACATGACGAGAAGTAACTTTTAACACATTCATTTGTTCCTAATGATTATTATTTGCTTGTTAGAGATTCAGTTTTGGTATGGAAATGGCGTTGATTATACTGGTCAGAAAAAAGCTCCTCAGTGGTTGAAGGTCAAGCATCCATAAACTGTACCCTTAGACTTGCTCGGTGCTTTCAGTGCCACAACTCACAGAGCACAGCTGACTTGTCTGAAGACTCTTGCAGTATCAGATGGATGGATTTTGTGTAACTTTGAGACTTTCTTTCAGCTTGGAAGACAACTATGGTGTTTGTGGGCAGCTGCAGCCGTCCTGCTGTCTTAGCACAGAACATGGGTATGTGTTTGGTTGGAGGTTGCTAGAATGATTATTGAGCTGTAGAAAGTGATCTTTTCAATGTTGAGTTGATACTCCTCTCTCACTGAACCTAATACAAAGAATGCTACAGACAAATTCTGGCAGAATGGTGTGGATGAGGGGGAAAAAGAAAAGACTTGAACCAGCATGGAACTAAAGATGATAGTTTGGGAAATTTGTTAAAGAAAATTGAAGATTAGTGTCAATTCTGCTCTTAGGCTACCCAGATTAGATTAGTACAATCCAGGTTAGAACAGACTATATTTCGGCTGTTTAGAGTATGTTTGTGCATGTGGATTCACTGTCATGTTAAGAAGTGTCTGTACTTTCTCTGCATTACTGTTGCAAGCCACTGTTAATCAGGGATGTCAGTAGGCAATGTTTTTGTATCCTTCATTTAGGATTTTTAAAATATAGCTACTTTTAAGTACTTATTATTTTAAAAAAATATGGTCAATAAATTTTTAATCTAAAAATTTTTCATCTAAAAATTTTTCTTTTATCTAACCATTATCTCTCCTGTGAGGAAAGGCTGAGAAAGTTGGGGTTGTTCAGCCTGGAGAATGCTCCAAGGTGACCTAGTAGTGGCCTTCCAGTAGGTAAAAGGGAGCCAACAAGAGAGCTGGAGAAGGACTATTAGCAAGGGCATGTAGTGATGGAACAAGGGGGAATGGCTTTAAACTGAAAGAGAGTAGGTTTAGTAGGAAGAAATTCTTTATGTGAGCTTGGTGAGGTGCTGGAAATGGTGGCCCAGAGAAGCTGTGAGTGCCCTGTCCCTGGAGGTGTTCAAGGCCAGGCTTGATGGACTTTGGGCAACCTGGTCAAGTGGAAGGTGTCCTTTGAGAGGGTGAGGGTTGGAACTAGATGATCTTTAAGATTTCTTCCAACCCAAATAATTCTGTGATTCTGTCATTAATACATGATTATCGTCTTCTGGAAATCAATATTTAAAAAAATCAAACCAATACTGAGTGCCTTTGACCAAATTAAATAGTTAATATAGGAATTGAGGAATACAGACTGGAAGAGTATTCAAGTTTTAATGCCCAGGTTAAACATATTTATGATGTACCAGGATATTTATGTATTGAAATCAGTATTCATAAAAATGCTGCAGCAGTGCCAGAATAAAGTGCATTTGCCAAAACCTTGCCTCAGTTCTATTAAGAAGTACATATACTTTGAAATATTGCATGCTCTAAGCAGGAAGCACCAGGTAGCATACTTACATCAGTTACATTTTAAAATGCTAGCACAAGTCCTGTACATAATGATCTCCAAAAACAGCATGCTGGAATAGTGTTACTTTCAAGAGTAATGACATTGTTTTGCAAACTGACTATATTTCTCTGAAGGTCTCCCCTGGAAGGTGGAATCATTGTCATTACATAGGAAAAGCTGCCAAGCAACTTCTGTGAGTTCTCAAGAGAGTGCTACTGAAATTCTGCCTTGCTTTGAATAACTTTCTGCACTTCACCTTTTTAAAGAGCCTTCTATCTGACTATCAAAAGCCAGCAGATCAACAGATTAGGCTCTAGGTACTCTCCCTGTATTAGAAAGATTGAAGTGGGAAGTGGTTAATTTGTACCTAAGTGACAAATTAACACGGCTTATGCTGACTGGCTTAGTGTAGAAACTGTAACCCCATGGAAACTGGAATTTACAAACAATTTTTGGATGAGCAGTATAATAGTGCCTTGTGTTTCCTACCAGAAAAGATTTTAAGTTTGTTGGCTTTTTTTGTTTTATATATAGGGGGGGGGGAAAGGCATGGGGGGGGGGGGGGGGGGGGTTTAGGAAGAGTGAGGGGGGAAAAAATGGAACAGAATCTATGATTCTGAGCATTGTGTGAAGTAATCTTGTTTATTACATGCCCTATAAAAAGGTATTTATGGGCTTGCTACTGCAAACAATTGTAAAGGAACCCCTATGCTCTCCAAGAACCAAACCTGTGATCTGAATCTGAGACCACCAGAATTCAAATCTCTTTTAAGAAAGCCTTGTTGACTCTTGAATACAAGCACAATATCTTGTCAACATTATGACTGTAAGCAACCCTAGAACATGTGGCCAAAGAAAAGGAAGAGCTGCTGGAAAAGCAATTCTGTAGTCATTGGCTCTGGCATTGCAATTATTTGGTGGGGTTTTTACATGTAGATCTTTTGATTTATTTATTGAACAATTATTCAGCTTCGAGGTCACGTCTGAGACAAATCTGAAACTGAGAGAAGTTGTGTCATTGAACTCAATGCATTCTTGGCTTCTCTTTGTTACAGCGGCTGGAGCTGAAGAAGTTTTCCCTGGGACAATCCTCGTTGAGTTGATTGGGATGATGGAATGAGTATAAAGAAGCTGGGATTCGGTGACTAAGAGCTTCTCAGGACTCAGTAATTCCCTGGTATTCCTGCTTTCACGGCAGAAGGAGGCGGAGCGTTTGGGAGCTTGGCTCTGTCCGGGGAGCCGCGAGGAGCTGGGGCTGTGTTGGAAGTCCTGCCCGAGCCGTTCTGCCCCCTGGCTCGCCCCCTCCTCCCCAGGGCCGGCACTGGATGCCGATGCCCCCCGCCGCCCCCCTCCCGCGGGCTGTCCCGGGCGCTACTTGCCATGGACACGCGGCGTCCCGAGGCGGCGGGCGGCGGGCTGGGCGCGCCCTCCGAGCGGCGCTTCCCCTCCGAGCCGGAGCCGGAGCCGGAGCCGGGGCCGGGGCTGGGGCCGGGGCCGGGGCCGCCGCGGGAGGCGGTGCTCTCGCTGTCGCTGCCCGCCCGGCTGCCGGTGAGGACGCGGGAGAGGAAGCTGGACTTGCGGGTGCCGGGGCAGTGCCCGCTGTCCGGGGAGTCGCCGCGCTCCTCACCCAGATCGCGGCAGGCGCTCACTCGGCTGTGCCGGCGGGGCGCCCGGCGGGCCGCGGCGGCCGCCCCCGCCCCGCCGCCCCCCGGCGCGGCCCGCGGCGCCTCCTCGCTGCTGGAGGAGGGCGGCGGGTGCTGTCCGTGGTGCCGGCGGCGCGGCGGCGGCGTGGCCCGGAGCTGCCCGCGGTGCTGCCGGGCCGGCGGCGCGGGGGCGCCGGGCGCGGGCGGCGGGAGCGGCGCGGGCGCGGGGCGCGGCGGGGACGCGTTGCTGGCCAGGCAGGGCGGCGGCGGCACCACCGAGCTCTTCTTGGAGTTGTACGCGCTGGGATCCTCCTCGGACGGGCCCGGCGGCCACAGCGGCTGCCCGCACAGGCTCTTCCGGATCTTCTTGATGCCCAGGTGGGCGATTTCGAGGATATTGAGGAAGAGGGAGACGGCGGCGATGCTGTTCATGAAAACCATAAAGATGGTCTTCTCTGTGGGTCGGGACACAAAACAATCCACCGTGTTAGGGCAAGGGGGCCGAGTGCATTTGTAAAGGGGAGACATGTGAAGCCCATATAAAAGATACTGACCTATCATAAAGCCCACTTCGACCACCGACCGGGTGAGGATATGTAGGACATAGGTGCGCAGCAGGGACCCTCTCAAGGGTGCCTTATTCACTTTCTTCTGTTCCTCCAGCTTACGCAGTTCTCTCTCCACTCTCTTGTGTTCCTCGAGCATGGGCTCCAGGCCCTCGAGCTGAGCCCGCAGGTGGGCTTTCCTGTTCTGTCGCTCTTTCTCCAGCGCCCTTAACCTGTAGAGCGCGTGGCCCATGTACACCAAAGATGGGGAGGAGACAAATATGATCTGAAGTACCCAGTATCTGATCAAAGAAATGGGGAAGGCTTTGTCGTAACAGATATTGTTGCAGCCAGGTTGCTCCGTGTTGCAGATGAACTCGGACTGCTCATCATCCCAGACATCTTCAGCAGCCACTCCCAGCACCAGCATCCGGAATATGAAGAGGATTGTGAGCCAGATTTTGCCAACTATGGTGGAGTGGATGTGCACTTCTTCAAGGATGCTGCCCAACAAGTTCCAGTCCCCCATTGTCAGAAGTTCATTTCTGGGGGGAAAAAAAAAAAACAACAAAAAACTGTAATGATGGATTTCTTTTGGAAATGGCCATTTTTAGTTTTTGTTGGTTTTTTTTTTTTTTGGGGGGGGGTATTTTTTTTTTGTTAATTTCAATATATGTGTTTCCGATACATTCTTTCCGTAGCTGGAGAGTTCTTATAAGTTCGTCATTATTTTCTACTTATTGGGCCTTTAAATTAATTCAAACTTCATGACTACTGGTCAAAAATGCAAATGTGATATTATTTTAAGATTAAGATATAGTGATTTCAGCTGTAAACCACAGTACTTCATAATTGCCCATAGCTTTATATTCTTTTCTTCCCACTAGAAATGAAGACAACTTTTTTCCCACCTTGCAAATCACTTGCCAGCTACAGTTAATTCTACACCCACTCCATTCTACATTGACTATGGATTTGCCATAGTTTTGCCACAATAGATAATGTTCTTGGCTTTAATTTTTTGGATAAAGTTTTGAGAAGTGTCCTATGACTTAAAAACAGTTTCATTTTTCACCCCAAGGTAGTAGCAATTTTAGTGCCATCCATCCAGTATTTTCCCATCTACTCGGGTAACAATTCAAAAGTTTCTCTCTTGGCTAGCTAAAACTACAAATACACAGCTGATTTACACATAGCTGTACATTTGCAGTCTCAGTTATAGGATAATATCAATAAACCAAGTGCTCCTAGGGTTAATGCCTTTTTATGCATCAAGTTTTGCTGCATCTTAATTATAAATTTTAACAAATGAGAAAATGGAATCAGAGTGATGTGAAGGTTTTTAACAGTGAGTGTGTGAAAATCTTTTTAACTACCTCTATCCCAGAAACTGATTCACAAGCAAATTGATCTATGTTCTGCTTGGTTTACAACCTGCTTCTTTTGAAGCTTTCTTTTGTAGCTTCAGGTAATGTGGGTAATTGATATATAAGATATTTGACTGTTTATTTGTGAATCAACTGCATGTTTAGTGTTATGTCCCTGGAATTTTTTCTGCTAATATGGCAATAAATTATTGAAGAAACTGGGATCATATCTACCTTAGGGTTTGCACTCGAATCTCTTTTATGCTACAATACTTTCAAAACATCCCAAATTTTACTAAACTACAACCTTTAGTAAAGTGTAATTTCTAAGGTTTTTTTTAAGTGGCTGGTTGATGTGCCCAAATTCTTGTATATATTTAAATGATAGCATAGCTGGGTGAAATCACCATTATTAATATCGCTTGGTTCATGACCCCATGATCCCAGGTTAGTTCAGTTTTGCTTCCAGGCTGTATTTATCCACACTGCAAGTAAAAATTCTCAGTTGTAACCAGCAGCAAAGTCGTCATTCTCAGCATAGACATCCTACAGACTTCATTATTGTGTTTCTGGGACTATGTTGGCTGCAAATATGAATTTTCACACATGGAACTAGCTAAGTAAACATATCTAGTCAAGCAATGTTTTAGGTGTTGTTAGACACCCAGAATATCTTGTTTCCCCATTCCTTTCCTCCCACACATATCATTGCAATGAGACACTGGAGGAAAACAGGAAGTCAGCAATAATTATTGTAGTCCAATGCAACAGTTAAGCAAAGGAGCTTTAGGTATATTTGCTGCCTTGCAAATGGCTAATCCCTCACTGAAACTGATTGACTCAGCAAAAAACCCCAACCAAACAACAAAACCCTAAGTGTGATGCAACAATGTATATTCAGGGATAAATATGTTTTAATCTCAAAGATGGAATTCTCTAGCAGTAGAGAATTTCTGTTCTGCCTGGAACAGAAAGTGAATGCAACTATTTGAGGCAAAGGAGGTGCCTAAACATATCACTCTGGCTCAACAGAGTTTTGTTTCTTGAGTTGTTTCCACCAGTGTTTAAATAACTCTATCCTCACCTTTGCATTATAAAAGCCAACAGAGGAAATGTAATTGTAGGAATGGTGTAATTCACCCTTTAAGTGAGCCCTTGATACCAGGACGCTTCCCCTCAGCTCTGCACTGGTAGAACTGCAGTATAAATAATGACACAGTCAATACTGTGTATAAAATAAAGAAGATAGTTTAGAGCCACAAAAGCCAGCATTTCTAAGAAATCAGCCCAAACTACTTCACAACCTTGTCATAGCAATGTGCTTCTAATTTTTCCATTTCTGTCCCCTTCCCTGGTCTTAATTGAGTTCTGTGTAACAGAGTAATTTCAGTTTATTTTAAGACAGGAATCTTAAATATCAATTACATAATTATTTCCAGTTTACTAGTAGACTAGAAATTCTAGTAGTACAGCCTATTCTATACTACTAGCATTGTAGACTAGATATATAACATTTTTAGTATACAAAGTACATACCTGAGACATTTCTCAATATACCATCTCCTTTGTGTCTGCCCAAGTATTTTTTATGGTTATTTCAAACAATAAAAATCCATGCATGTAATCAATTAGAACCAGATGGAAATCCGCCATTTCTCTTGGAGGAAGTTCCTTTATTTTTTTTATTTTGTTACTTCTTTTAAAATCATCTTGTCATTTGCCACTATTCACATCACTTCTATGTTACATTCATGCCACATTTACATCAGGTGAGGTATGAAATAGCTAAATTAAACTTTACATTTCTTGTCAAAAGTTAAATGTTAAGATGCAAATACTCATGGTTTTAATTTGCATTGCTTCAAGACTGACAGGCAGCTGCCTGCTCCATACTGTCCTAGGAAGAATTACTTTTCTGCCACTTACCTTAGGAGAAAGCCCTTGGTTAGTCTCTTAGAGCATTGCAGAAGGAGCATGCAGAACTGCTTGTTGTGATTTCTCAGAGACCTCTCTTTGAGAGTCCTAGGATATCTTCTTTTTTTCCCTTTTTTTTCTTTTCCCCAAGCACCCAAGCATAGCTGTGGTACACTGAATGGGCTTCTCAGTTCTATGTAGCTAGATGGCAAGATCACTCTCTCTAAACTATTCATGCACAGTTTAAAAATCATCAGATGATAGGATGGATGATAGAATGGTGCCTCTAGACAAAATTATAATGCAATTATTTTAGTCAGTGGCATCTAACAAAGCCATTCCCTCAAGGCTTAATCTGAACAGCAGCAGTTTGTGAAGTCCCTATGCCTTGTTTTAGCCAGTTCTTTGAACTTTACATCTCCACCCAGCTCCCAAATGAAATTTTATTTTGTAAAATGGCTAAACAGGCAGCCTTTACAGTACAATAGAGTCTTACATTTTCTTTACATTCCATTAGTTTTGCTTTGGATCAATGCTCAAGGATCGATCGGTCATGTCCGATTTCATACTCTGTTGCCTGGTGAGTTAATTTAGGATGTGTTAGACTGAGCCTTTGAAAATGGAGGCCACAGGAACTAAGACTCAGTCTTAAGTTAGAAACACAGGCATTCAGCACAGTAACATTTCATCAGCTGGGTTGAATAGCTGCCCTCAAGCCCATTCAGAACAGGTATCTGTGAAAGACAAGGTTTAAAAAAGGAAGGTGAGTTGTCAAAATGGTATTTTGTGAGAAATTGGAGCCACCAGAACTGAGTTTCTGATACCAAGACCTTCTACTACCTACTCCTGCCCATGCCCAGGCCTAAATTTTATGGAAATACAGAATACTCATTTTTTCCTCTCATTGTGGAACTTCTGGCCCTTTTCTTCCATTTTATAAGGCACATGTATGATTTCTGTTTCAGACTCCTCTCCCTAAAGATGCTCCTACAAACCAGTGGCCAGTTCTCAAATGACAGTAGCCTCACCTCTTCTTTGGAATTATCTCTGGTTTATGTACTATTGCATCCTTCTCTCTCACAGGAGCTGTACATGTCTCCCTGAAAGTCCTGTTTGAATATGCCTTCAGAGCCCTGCCCTGCAGCAGTGGAGGTGGCTGCAGCACCTTTCCTCTAGCCTCAGTCTAACACAGCAGATGTATGGTTTGTGCACACATTACAAACAAATGCCTTAGGGGCAGTAGGACTACAATTCTCACCCCTGAGAGATGTGTTAATGTTCATCCAAACCACCCAGACCTCCACAGGCTTTCCTCATCCACAGACGCTCACATACCTGTCATTGCCATTTTATTTACATGTCTCTTTCCAAATCTGGTCACCAAGTTCCTAAAGCTTTTCCTTGCTGCTTCGGCTCAGATCGTCAACTCAGGTCTGGGTCCTCTGTGCTGCCTCATCAGATGTTGCTGACCTGACATCTCCAGCATCTTCCACAGTGCCTAGGTGTCTCTTAGGAGCACCCTCGTCACCTCTGCTGGCTGTGAAAACTTGTGAAAAGAGCAAGAGCTGCAGCACCTATGATATATCCATCCTGTCAGAGTTGTTCCCTGCAGAAGCAGCTCATTCTGGGCCCAGCACATTTCTGCCCCATCCCATCTGCCCCTTGGCAGGTCCAGAACCACAGGCTGCCTACTTCACTCTACCCTCAGAGCAACCTGGCTTAAAGTTTTGGTTTTCTAAGGGGACAGGGCAGGTGGTGCCAGTAAGCTGGTCAGGGACAATTTTTTGCATTTTTTCTTTAGCAGCAGAAAAATTAATGTTGTTAAAGGACTGCTCATACAAGCTTGTTAATGGACCATTAATTGTGCATGAAAGGGAAACAGGGTGAGGGTACAGGGATGATGGTGTTTGCATATGGAGAAGCAAGAATCTGTGGTGCCTCAGGACACTCCCTTGCTATAAGCTCCTGCCATAATCAGCTTACTGTATGCATTGACAGTAGGCTGTGTGTGGATGTGGTGGGAGGGAATATATCCTGCAGATCACAGATGGGACCTTGCCAGTGGTGACTGGAATAGGCAACTGTGAGAAGCAGCACAGTGGGAACCAGCACATCTTCATGCCTGACCTTCCTGGACCAGGACTGACCTCCCTTCTGGGAAGCAGAGACCCAAAGAACATAGTGCTGGGTCAGGAGCTGATCACAACCAAGGAGGGTGAAAGGTCTGGTCCTGGTGGTTATTCAATAATCCCAGTATCCAAATCCAGTATGAGGCATTTACTCTGTATTGTGTGTGACAGCAGGATTCTGCACCTGGGATGGGGTGACCCTGGATATAGGTGTAGACATGGCAATGAGGCTGGGAAGCAGAGACACAGAAAAGGTCCTGGTCGATGCAAGTTGAACACGAGTCAGCAGTGCCCTGGCTGCCAGGAGGGCCAGCCCTGTCCTGGGGGGACATCAGGTACAACATCACCAGCCAGGCAATGGAGGAGATTCCCCCACTCTGCTCTGCACTGGGGCAGCC